TAACCCAGACAGGTTCACTTACTGTGAACATAGAATTGAGTACAAGAATAAAACGCCCAAAGTTCTACATTATAAACATAAGCCTGAATGCTCTTTATGGTGCAGCTGTTGGGTTCAGCCAGTATACAGTACTTCTCAAGAATGCCTTTAACCTGAATAACCATCTTAAAAATTACTAAATGTTCAGATAATCAGTCCCTCTCATACCTCAGTTTAATCCTGAACAACATAGACTTTATCTGAATACTGCAATGACTGGATCGAACATTTGCTGATTTTGAGTTAAAACTCTGGTGCTAATGGTCACAGAGGTGCTTCTCCCAGGGTGAGGCTCAGCCATTTCACTTTGGATGTGCTGAGCCAGGCATTTTTCCAAAATGTGGGGAAACTCAACAGCATAATTTGTGGTAGTGGGGGACTATGTTTATGCTATCCCCTGTTAAAAAATAAACCTTGCTTGGCTGCCTAAATTCCAGTTTAGATATCGTGTCTGTCTGGCTCACCATTGTATCTCCAGTTATTACGATATAAATTTGTGATAAATAAATTCTAGTGACTCGATTAAAAAAACAAACAAACCAAAACCCACAAATCTTGTCCTGTTCCTCAAGAGTAGGGTTTTTAGCCTAGGCCTTTGACTAAAAAAAATCAGGTGTGGAAGTATATTCGTTCCACAAGTTCTGTGCCTGTGCAATAAAGCAACGACCAAAATAGAAGAGACTTCTGGTGGCATCGTGAGGAAGCATTCATTAGTCCTCAACCAAACAACAAGACCAGCTGATGGGAAGTGGAGTAAAGCATCGAAGAAGAGTGGGGTGGTAGAGAATGATGGTATGACTGGCCACTTTAACTGGATAGCAGACCCTTGCTGAGATGGATTGACGCAGTGCGCTCAAACAGCAATAATTGTGAGGATGACGCAGGATCAGGCAGTGTTTTGTTCTGCTGCTAAAAGTCATAACTAACTCGATGGCACCTAACAACATATTGTAGAACTAATTTGATTCGGAGTCTCTACTGAGCATTCCAGGTGTCTGCACTCCGGTTACTGACACGAGGGGTTCTTTCCACAGTCAGTTGCCAATAAGACAAACAGATTGCAGTATTCAAAGCACTTTATTGCAGATCTGGGAGAGCAGAGAGAACCCTCTCAAAAGCTGCCTCCCCGGCTAAGGGTAATCATTGGCTTATAAAAGCCAAAACTTGGATTTGATGTTAATCTAGCCCCTCAACTTTATGAGCTTGCTGTGCTCCATTTGATTTTGCCCCCAAGTCCAAGCCGCGCCTCCCTGTACTTGCTTTGGAGCTCTTATGGCCTAGTCTGTAGATAGTTGCTCCACAGACCCAAAAGTCATGTCTCACTGGTGGTTCAGATCCATCAGTGTCTCCACAGGAGAAAGATGGGCAATCTCCTTCTGAGTGCTTTTACCGTGGAAATCCGACGGAGGGTCAGCAATGAGTTGGTTTGACAGCAATGCGTTTTAATGGGGTTTTTGGAGGAATGGGGGCCTCTAAGCAGACCAGACTATCACAGGGTTCTTCTATACCGCACTGACCGGCATCTAGTCCTGGAACACTCGTTGGAAGGCAAGTTCTGATATACACAGTAAAGGTGGGGGCATTCAGATTCAGGTCTCAGTCCTGTGTCCTCTCAGCTCAGAGAACCCCTGCACACGCCCAGGATCCACCTCAACCTTTGATTAACTTGGGGATCATGATTTAGAACCAAGCTGGAATGTGTTTTTAAAGTATAAAATCAGCAAATGGAATTGTTTAAAAGAACAATGCAAAGCTTTTACTCAGAAGGATTGGCTTTGTGTCTTCCTTGAATAATTTCATAAAAAGTAACAAGCAGTGAGCTAGACAAGCATTCCTGGAGGAGTTTAGTTTTAAACTCCCTCAGATTCTAGAAATGCACATAAATACATTTTTCACACGGTACTGCTGATGTGGTAATGAGTCAGCTTTGTGGCTGTCACCAGAAAGGCCACCGCTCTTGTCCTCCAACACATGGGAGGCAGGGCAGAGTTTATTCTCTTCAGGTATGGATGACAGGACTGAGACGTGCAAAAGTCAAATTAATTACTCCAAGTCACACAGGAAGTCAGTACAATTCAAATGCAGGCTCCCTGACTTTGAATGAGTGATGGCTGTAAGGTGTTTGCTCCCTAGAGGAAAAGCACTCAGGGCCTTGCATCTGCCAAACGGTGCCAGACTTTCCACCTCAGCCCTTCATCTCTCAGTTTGCCTATTTGACCTCTCAAACTCATTTGTTGCTCCATTCAGAACCTACCTACCTTGTCAGCTCTGGCACATGATACTGCCCTTCTGCCCTCCATCCTCGACTCTGTCTAGCATAGTGTCTGATACATAGTAGGTCCTCAGTGAATATTTGTCCTTCAGACTACACTGTTTCATCTATATATTTCCCTTCTATTCCTTTGCTTTGCTTATTACTTTTCTGCAAAGAACCTGGATCTTTGACCTGCTGAGTGTGGTTCAGCCTGCCCCTCCATCTTTGTGTGCCCTGCACATAGCTTCCAAGCTTTTATTGTACTCCTGTGAAACCTGTCCGTAGACTGTGAGAGATACAGCTGTTTCTCTGGTCTTCACAACATCCAAGATACTTCTTCAGTTAATGAAACAAACACAGACTTGTCCAGATCGGCCTCCCCAGGCCCCTCCAAGCTCCTACTGAGGCAAAAGTCTCTTCAGACAACAGGCTCTAATCGCCTTCTCTCTCACCAGCATCTAGCAGGGCACATGAGGCAAGTAGACGCTTGATAAAGAAACTGTTGATGTTACTTTTCTCTACCAGCTAAAGGACAAAAAGGGAAATCTGCTGTTTCTATAAAACTTAACAATCTGCTAACGTGAAACACTTCTGTGCTCAGTTCAACTTCCTCTTTTAGCACCATTTTTTGGGAAGTGCAACAAAGTTCCTCTTTACATTTCCCCACAAAAGCAGCCTTAGAAAAGTTTGCAGTCCCCCAATTTCCCCCTGAAAGATTTTCTTCGTGAGCACTGGCACCTTGTCCCATGCCCTGGGTCCTTTCCTGGGCTGCTTTGGCTTCAGGGTCTAGAGGGACTAGACCTCACAGTGCTGTTTTGCCCAAGCCCTCCCAGAAACCACATATTTTCTTCTGAAGGGTAATTGTGAGTTTTTCATGCTGACTCTTTGGTTTTTCTTTGGATCCTTAGCAGCCTCAGAGAAGGAATTGCTAACTCCCAGAGGGCCTCCTGGACCCTTCCTGGCCTCTTGGGTGTAGCCACTAGGCTTCCAGCACACTTCCTGTCACAGTAGCCACCATGCCTGCTGCCACAAGTGCCATTGCACAGGAGAGAAAACCACAAGACTAAGAAGCCTCCCCTTTATTTTCCAGCTAGAGCACCAAGCTCTTTGAAGCTTTGCTGCCAGCCTGTCATCTTGTCCTTGTCATTGTGCTTGCTTTTCAGTTCAGATCCTAGTTCTCAGTGGGCACTGAAGCCACCCACCATCTCCCCGGGCTGACTTCTACTTTGTGATCACAAACTAGGCTTTTCTTGATCATCCAACCTTAAGGCTTTGAATCTTTCTAAAGAAAATGACTTTCAATTCTGATAGTGTTTCTCAACAGAGAGCTATTGATAGCTTTAGTCCAAGCAGTTCCTGTCACCTGCTCCTATTCCCCCCCCTTCTTTATAATTTCAGATATCCCTAGGGGACTTTGGCATCACTTGTTGAGAAATGCTATGGCACAGGGGGTGGATGTACAGGATCTCTTCCCCTTCCCAGCCAGCCATCTCTACTTTTTCATGTCCACAGATTTTTCACTTTCACCCACCAATTCCTCACACAAAATGGAATATCCCATGGACTGCCAAAGAGACAAACAAATCCATCTTGGAGTAAGTACAGCAGGAGTGCTCCTTAGAGGCAGTGATGGGGAAACTTTGTCTTATATATGTTGGGCATGTCATCAGAGGACTTAAAGCTACTATGCTGGGAAAGTATCTCAAGGAGATGGATTGACCTAGGGACTGTAACAATGGGCAAGAACATGGAGAAATCATGAAGAAGACATAAGGTAGAACAGGGTTTTGATCTGTTGTTTATAGGATCACTATGACTTGGAGTGGAATCAAGGGAATCTAATAAAACAACAGTTAAAATTTCTGAAAAAAAAAAATCCAGCAACACAGAAACTTGAAAGAGGCAATATAATGCCGGTGATTGTTGTTGTTATGTGCCATCAAGTCGTTTGTGACTCAGAGACCTTGTGTACAACAGTCCTGAGCCAGGGCTCTGTCCTGAGACAACCTCATTGTCTCTGAGTAGTCACCTACCGCCATCACCCCAGACACTGAGTCAATTCATCTCATCCAGGGTCTTCTTCTCCTGAGCTTCCCCTCCACCCTTACAAGTGTGCATTTTTAGGGTAACATTGCCTGGTTCAAATCCATTTATACAGCTGCTTAACTGTGTGACTTTGGACACATTGCTTAACTTCTCTGAACCTTAGCATATGTAAATGAAGATAATAACTGTGCCTCCCAATAGGATAGTTTTAGAGGTCAAATGAGTTCTTATAAAGCACTTTGTAGAGAATCTTTCACATTGAAAGTTTAACCAGCCACTCTACTTTCTATTCTATTAGAATTCTATTAAGAAACAAAAGGCATAGATATTGGGAAGGAAGAAATAAAATTGTCTTTGTCCAGATTGTCTATGTGGAAAATTACTTAAAAAATGATAAAAGGCTGTTGGAGACAAGATTAATACACAAAAGTCTGTTTCTTATACAGGAAGAATGAACAAATGGAAATTTAAATTAAAAAACTACAGCACCATTTACATTAGCACAAAAATTGAAGTGTTTCGGTGTAAATACAACAAATGTGAACAAAACTGAAAGTTGGGTGGACTCTGTGTATCTTCAGAGAATGGCTGATTCGCTTCTTTTGTGCTGTCCCTTGATTCTTGTCAGAGCCAAGTAATCCTTCATTTTACCTCTTTACAGGCCTGGCGAAAGCGATGGTTTGTCCTCAGGCGGGGCCGCATGAGTGGCAACCCTGATGTCCTAGAGTACTACAGGAACAAGCGCTCCAGCAAGCCCATCCGTGTGATAGACCTCAGTGAATGTGCAGTGTGGAAGCATGTAGGCCCAGGCTTCGTCCGGAAAGAGTTTCAGAATAATTTCATGTTCATTGTCAAGACAGCTTCTCGTACATTCTACCTGGTGGCCAAGACTGAGGAAGAGATGCAGATCTGGGTACATAGCATCAGTCAGGTCTGCAACCTCAGCCACTGGGAGGGCGGTGCAGGTGAGGACCGAGCAGGCTGCCTGCCTGCCTGCCTGCTAGGGAATAGCCAGAGCGGCGCCGTCTCTGGCAAGTGCGCCAGGAGAATCGAGCTGCTCGTTTCAGTCAATGCCGCTTCCCCCACTACTGCCCATCAAGTCTGTGCACCTCTGTGTACTTTGCTGTTCTAAGAGACTACACCTTTCACTCGCTTCTAAGGTTCATGTGCAAATACAAAGCATTCTTTCCTTCAGCTGCGGTTGGGAGGCAAGCTGTGAGAATAAAGTGTGAATAAGGAAATCCTAGGGATTCTGATCAGTCCCCCCTGTTCATGAATTTCTAGAAAAGCTTGTGGCGTTCTAGCATTTCTGGTGCCCCCTGGAGGGTCAGCTGTGAGTTACCACCACCACTGAGTTACTCAGCACTAGCAGTGGAAAGCTAGAACTGGGTCTTTTATTATCGACAGAATAGAATCCCTCGGTTTTCCCCCTCAAGGCTCCTACAAGGTTTGCTCAAAATATCTTCAAGGGAAATTAGCTCCAAGTTACCTGTGAGCCATTTTGGGACAGTGGTGGTCATGTGAGTCTGTGTGTCCATCACGTGACTCATGTGCTTTATCTGTATGTTGGTAACCATGGCTTTTTACAGGCTCTTAATCTGTGTAGACAAAACCTGCTTCTAAATCTCTTACTCTGTGGTAGCTTTAACTTTTACCTGGTTACTGTGTGCTTTCCGGTTTCTGCCACTGAAGTATCCACCTCACAACAGCAGGTGGCAGTGAAGAGCCATTGTGTACTTTCTGAGGCCAAAGTCCTTCGCTTTTCATAAATGTTGGGAGCTAACATGACAGAACTGAAGTAGTTGACTAAACGGAAGTCAACTTCTTAGCCTCCTGCTGGCTCTGCTTTGGCCCTCATTCCATACTTTAAGCCTAACCTAGAGACATATTTGTCTACCTTGTTCTGCTTCTCTTCTGTTTCTTTCCTCAACCAGAAGTGATGATATTTATCCTAAGACATACTACTAAAAAGGGACAAGAATGAGGGAGGAGCCAGGCAGGGAGACATGAAGCTGTAGAAGGCCACATCTGCTCATAAGCCCCCTTTGTTCTGTCTCCTAGCTTGTAGGGGAATGTGTTAGGTGCTTTATACACTTTAACATATCTTATACTAAGAAGGTGATAAATTGCCCAAGATTACAATGGTTTGGTATTAGAGCTTGGACTTGAACTTGGGCAGTTTTGGACTTCTCTTGGAATCCTGAATTGCTATGAACTCTCTTCCAAGAGGAAACAAAAGCTGACTTTTCACTGGGAATGCCGATCTGGAGTTCTCATTGGCTTTTGATCTGGATTCACCTTGAAGGACGTTTCCTAAGGGAAAAAGGGAAAATGTAATGATCCTTAAGAACTACGTGCCCTGTTTCTCTTCCTCACGTTACTTCATTCTCCATGTTCCCATGCTATGTGTCTGTCTCCTCCACGGAAACGCAGCTCTAACGGGAGCAAGGGCTTTGTCTCGGCTGTATTTGTCAATGACCGAACAACTGCAGGCACATAGTAGGTTCATGTAGTTGCTCTTGTGGTTTGCTCTTGAGTGCGACCTTATGCATGACAGACGTAACCCTGTCCTACCTAGTACCCTCCTCATCATCGCCGACACCCTTGAACCCATTGTTATAGTCACTGTGGCAGCCCATCTCCTCGAAGGTCTCCCTCTCTTTCACTGACCCTCCACTTTTCCCTGCATGATGTCCTTTCCCAAGGACTGGCCCTTCCTAACAACATACCCAAAGAATGTGATGCAGAATTTCACCATCCTTCCCTCCAACGAGCCTCTGGTTACGCTGTTTCCAAGACAGACCTTTTTGTTCTCTTGGACATATGTAGGTATACACACACACACTCTCATGCATGCAAATGTAAATTACAGCAGCCCACCAGCTGCTCCACAGTCTCCTTCCATGCAACTTACTGCCTCTGAAAACTCGCTGGAGGGTCAGCTATGAGTCGGTTCCGACTTCATGGCATGCAACAACAACAAATCTTTGTGTATATATGTTGTTTGTGTTTTCAGGTTGGCTACAACTGATAGTAACCCTTTGAATAACATTGGAACCTTGCCTATCACTTGCATATATATGCATATGCATATATTTGTTGAATGAATAAACAATGGTGTAGAGCAGCAAATGAAGACCATAAAGGAGCTATGTGCAGACTACGTAGCTGCAAGTTCTAGGCCAAGAAAGCTGCTTTTTTATTATTATTAAAGCCAAACCTTGAATTGATTCACCACTTCCCTCTTGGCCCATTTTCCCAGACATTGTTTGTAGCTCAGGGAAATGCGCTTCTCCATCAGTGCAAACACCAGCTGTGATTTGCATCTTCTATTTGGCTTCTGAGCTGCTGTTTGTTTGAGAACTTGTGAGTGAGTGTTATGGCTGTTCATCCAAAGTTAACTTGGAAATTATTTCTCCAGCAGATTCTGCGGACCATCTCTCTCACATACCCTCCTCCCTGCAGCCTTCCCCTGCCAGTCCCCTTCACACCTCCCAGGCTGCCAGATCCTTGCCAGGAGGTGACCCAAGTACTAATACCATAGCCACTGAAGAAACCAGAAGTGAGCCGGAATTTCTCTTCCTTCCTGATTATCTGGTTCTGTCCAACTGTGAGACCGGAAAGCTCCACCACACCAGGTATGCTGAAGCTCGTGCCTGCCCACACCAGTCCTTGCAGCTGGAGCATCTTTGGAGGATGGATCTTCCCTCACTTCTGCTGCTGAAGTGAGGGTAGATCACTGTCAGTAACCAGGGAAGATGGAGTCATGTGTTTCGGCATTGTCGCTCTCATTTTCACCCTTGAATTTTCTTGTGTATCAGATACTTTTAAGATGGAGGGCTATAGAGGACATATGAAGGGCTTTGGAAGAAAGGGTGTGAGGGCAGCATGGACTGTGATAGGCAGATGGCGGCTGTGTCTCTACTGCACACTAACTGAGGCTCCAGCGCACTAATTCTGTCACATTTTTATGTTTTTCTCCCTAGTCTACCCACAAGGTGTGACAGCTGGTCGAACTCAGACCGTTCGTTGGAGCAAACTTCATTTGATGATGTTTTCCTTGAATGCTTCCAGTCACTGCCCTCCAGTAACTTGGTGTATTCTTCATGCCATGGGAATGGATCACAGGAGGCACCTTCCACCAAGCCCCAGGCTGCCGTAGTCAGGAGTAGAGAAGTCAATGGGCCACCTAGGGACCACTTGTCATCTTCATCATTGCTGGAGACATCCTTAAATGCTACCATCCAAGTTGAGAAAAGCCAAGATTCCTTACCCTGTGGAGTGGAAGAAGTAGATATTTTGTCTCATACCCCACCTCCCCGGCCTCCTAAGCCACGCTATCTTTCTGAAAGGCACCAGGAGGAGCCATGCCTGTGGAGTAGACACAGCAGCATCAAGAACCCAGGATGCTGTATGGTTCCAAGAAGAATCTCTCTCTCTGATTTAGATAACATGGGGACCTGGAAAGGTAAGTGATGAGTGCTGCAATTAAGGCACAGAGAGAGTGTGGGCAGGGACAACTGACAGAGAACACTGTCCAGCTCTTCTCCTCCAGCTGGTGGACTCGAACCCAATGACTTCAGGGTTGCAGTGGAGCTCCCTGCTACTAGGCGACCAGAGCTCCCTATTGCGATACTCACCCATTTTTTTCTAGACTCTGATTGCCTTGAAAGCAGCCAGGCATCATCTTCTTCTGCTCTCAGGGGCGTGTCAGTTGAGGCTCATGTGGGCTGTTAGCTTTCTGAACCAGTTGTTTCTGTATAGTTTTGCTTTTCTTCCCTCTTCTTTGTTCCAGACAGGAAGAGCCCAACCGTGGGGGTCTGCTCTCACAGGCTTCCCCTGTCGCCACTCACCACAGTGAGGTGTAGGACATGGACTTTGAGAGCTAAGTATGCCAAGTGACCTTGTTGTTCTTGATCCCAAGAACAGGTGGACTTTTTCTCCTTGGCATTCCAGGGCTATTGTCATAAATGAAGTGCCTGTGTGTGTGAGGACAGGGAGCTCTGGTGGCCTAGTGGTAAGAACCTATGCTACAATCCTGAATGCAGGTGGTTCAAATCCACTAGCCACTCTGTGCGATTAGCTGCCTCTGAAAACCCGCTGGAGGGTCAGCTGTGGGCCCATTCCGAATCAATGGTACCCAACAACATGGGTGAGTACATGCATTTGAGCTGGTCCACTCACTGCACTATAATTCCTAGGAATTTAGCTCACAGTTTCTGTGAGGACAGTACTGGGACAGCAACACTATGAATATAGACTGGATGTTGTTAAGTACCATCCAATGGGCTCTGATTCACAGCAACTCCATGAATAACAGAAAGAAACACCACCCAGTCCTGTGCCGTCCCCACAGTCACTGCTGTGCTCCAGGCCTTATTGTAACTACCGTGTCACCCCTGCTCCAGGAGGGCCTCCTTTCTCTCACTGACCTTTCCAAGAATGATGTATTTCTGAAGAGACAGGCTCATCCTGATATCGTGTCCAAAGGATGTGAGGTGAAATTTTGCTGGTCATCTACTTCTGAAATAATGGACTACTGAATACCTTGTAATAAGGTGTGTCGTAATTAGGGAGCTCTGGTGGGCTAGAGGTTAAATGAGTTGCTCTGCTAACCCAAAGGCAGGCAGTTCAAATCTACTAGCCACTGTGAGGGAGAAAGATGGGCAGTCTCCTCCTGGGTGCTTTATAGCCTCTGAAAACTCACTGGATGGTTAGCTAGGAGTCAGTTAAGATTCAACAGCCATGAGCCGAGTTGAGTTTAGTAATTAGAATTTTTGTAGAAGGGCAATTTAGGTTACAGAAATATTTACAATGTGCAAAACTACACAACCAGACTCAATGCTATCGAGTCAACTCCAGCTTGTTTCAGCCTTCTGTGGGGTTTTGAAGGCAGTGAATCTTTATAGGAGGAAACTGCCTGCTTTTCTCCTGCAGCACAATTGATGGACTCAGACTACAAACCTTTTGATTGGCAATGAAACCTGTTATGTACACCTTAACCAGGGCTGCTTGTACTAGGTTAACCGTGGCAAAATTATTCATGAAAGAAAGTATACTAGATAGTAGCATTCTTAAAAATGGACTGTTGAATTCTCTTGGTCAGATTTTGTTAAGGATTTTTGGTGTCTATGCTCATGAGAGATATTGGTCTGTATTTCGTTTTCTCTTATGGTAAGGTCTTTGCCTGGGTTTTGGTATTAGGGTTATGCTTGTTTCATTGAATGACTCTGGGAGTGTTCCTCCTCCTATTTTTTGAAATAATTTCAGTCGACTTGATGCTAAATCTTCTCAAGTGTCTGGTGGGATTCAGTCATGAAGCCCTCTACTTTTTCTATGGGATAGTTGTCCATGACCCGCTCAGTTTCCTTTCTTGTGAGGGATCTGTTCAGGCGCTGTCCATGTGAGGGTGTGAGTTTTAAGAATTTGGTTCAGTTCCTCTAGGTTTTTACATAAGAGTGTAACTTTTCATAATACTCCTTGATTATAGATTTAATTTCAGCTGGTTCTATCTGTGATGTCACCTCTTTAATTTCTTATTTGGGTTATTTGTGTCTTCTCTTTCTTTTTTTCTCAACCCTTTTGAAGAGCCAGCTCCTGGTCTTTTGTGATGGTTTCAGTTCGTTTTAGATTTTCTATGTCATTGATTTCACCTCTTATCCTTATAATTTTCTTTCTTCTAGAGGCTGTGGGGTGAGATTGGGTTTTTCCCCCTAGTTAATGGAGGTGTTAAAGTCCATATTCTTATTTCTGTCGATCTCCATCACATCTGTCTGAGCTGGGCGTTATTAACATTTATGATCATGGTCACTACTCCGTTATTCTCTCCGATACACTCTCATTTCGCACATGTCTGTGTTCTGCCCCTCACTGCTGACAACACTAGCGAGGCTTCTTAGCAAAGTTCAGTATCTGTTTGCTCCTTTTTCCTACTCCAGCCGTCATTTTGCTGCCACCTTGTCTAATCTCAGAAGACTGATTAAATAAATGCAGTGAGCATTTAGTGATTCCAACTTTGTCTTTTACTTCACAGAGAAAATTAAAGCCATCACGTGGAAATGTCATCACTATTTTTCTGGGTTTTCTGTCTATTGGGCAGCACATCCTGACTGATCAGCTTGACCATAGAAAGCAGGCACGCTGTGTAGACACTGCATTACAGTCCTAACCAGGCATGCTGTGTAGACACTGTGCTAATGGTCCTAACCAGGCACGTTGTGTGTAGACACTGCACTGTGGTCAACAACCAGGCATGCTGTGTGTAGACACTGCACTGTGTCCCTAACCAGGCACACGCTGTGTAGACACTGCACTATGGTCCCTAACCAGGCATGCTGTGTAGACATTGCACTATGGTGCCTAACCAGGAACGCTGTGTAGACACTACACTGTGTCCTTAACCAGGCACGCTGTGTGTAGACACTGCATTACAGCCTAACCACTTTGGCACATTTTTTGCAGTTGGTGTAGAAGACCGGTCCTTAAGACACCGAGACAAGAGGCTTAGTTTAAATTTGGTAAGTTTGTCAGTTAGTTTCTTTTAAACCTTAATTTTACCAAAATTAACCTGAGCTATACAGATTTCTTTGAAGTCTTGTAAGACCCAGCGTTCAGAATCTCTCAGAGAGAAATAAGTCTCTGAGGAGTACACACTCCCTTTAAGAGTTGAACTTGTTTAAAAGGCATTTGAGAATAACTGACGTTCTATAAGTTCTAATGTTCTGAACACCTATCCAACTTGGGGAAGCTCCAGGGTCATAACTTTATATTTAAAACATTTATATAAATTTTTAACCCTTTCTCTCCTGATACCAGATCTACGAAAGTCACTGCCTATGTTTGCACATTAAGCATCTGTATTAGAGGCTTGTTTACCTTTCCTAAGTCAGTCCAAATTTATTCCTGAATAATTTGGAGTTAAAGCCCCATATATAGTCTCAGCTGCATTTGTCTGCAGGCCTGTGGTCTCCAATCTGTCCCTGTTTTCTTGCAGCCATGCAGGTCCTCTCTGATGAGCCCCCCAGCTTCAGCCAGTGTTGACGGTGCCTATGTGCCCATGGGCCCCCACAGCAACCCTAATGACTATATCCCTATGAGCTCAGGAAGCGGCATCTCCAGCCTGGAACCTCCTCCAGTGAATAGAGATCTCAAGCCTCAAAGGAAATGTAAGTCACATGAGCAGGCCTACTGTGCAGAGCAGAGAGCAAGGTCCTGGAAAGGGTTTAGAAAAGCTTCATCCTGACTTTCCCTGGAAAAGCAGCTCTAGAGAAGTCAGCTCAGGAGGCTGGGAAGTGTAATGACTGGAAGGTGCTCGGGTAGAAGGGGGTATGTGGGAAGAGCAAAGGAGGGGGCAAGATGTCAAAGCCACTTGTTGGCTTCCTTCTTGCTCACCTGTATCTGCCCAGTCAGCCTCTGTATTCCAAGAGAACATCCTGTACAGTGATCTGGCCTCCCTCTGGGCAGCTCGCACCTCTTCCCTCACTTCTCTTGGGGAAAACCACTACTTGAGGTGCCTATGCTTAGATCACCAGCAGTCAGGAAATCAAAAGATAAATTGCATTGGGAAAATCTGCTGTCAGGGACTTCTCCAGAGTACTGAGGAGCAACAATGTCATTGTGGAGACTAAGGTGCACTTGATCCAGGCCATGGTTTTCTCAGCTGCTTGCTACACATAAGAAAGCTGGACAGTGACTAAGGGGGTCAGAAGAATCATCGATGCCTTTGAGTTGTGGTGCTAGAGAAGAGTCTTGAACATACCATGGACCGCCAAGAGAGCAAACAGATGTGTCCTGGAGAAGGTGAAAGCAGTTTGCTCCTTGAAAGCTAGGATTTTGAAGCTTCATCTCACATACTTTGGGTATGTTGCCAGGAGGGACCTGTCCTTGGAGAAGGACATCATGCTCACAAGGGTGGAGGGACAGTGCAGGAGAGGAAGACCTTGGATGAGATGGATTGACACAGTGACTGAGGCAATGGAGGTTAGTGTGTCAGAATCAGTGAGACTGGCTCAGGACAGGGCAGGCTTCAGAGCTCCTATACTCAGGGTTGCTATGAGTTGCAGGCGAGTCAACAGCATATAAGAACAACAACAACAATCCCCAATAGTTAAGCTTAATTCTTGCCAGTCAGACTCCCTTCCACTTGAGCCAAGCCTCATTCACACTGCATTTACAACGGGTGGGAAGCAAAATCAACTCAAAGGAGGTTCTTCAGTCTGAGGAGGGAGGAAGTTAGGCAAAAAGCACCTGGAAGAACTATGAACTCAGTCCTAAGTAAGAGAACAGACACTGTCTCACGAGGTTCAGAGGAAATAACCATCCACTCTGGTCGGAAACAGTTTCACAGGCAACTGTAACTTCGAGAGGGGTATTACTAGTTGACTCTATTTTTTATAGCAGTGCTGTCTAGCAACTTTTTGTGAGCTAGATTTTAAATTTCCTTTCATTTTAAGTTACATTTCTATCTATAGCTATATCTACCTACAACAGCATATATATCTCCATATATCTATATGTCTCTATATATGTATCTATCTACAACATATCTATATATCTCCATCACCACATGTGCCTAATGGCTACCATATTTGGAAACAGAAGGTGAGATAACGTGATCTTGATGTTGGAGATTCAGTGAGCCGCAGGGGTGTATGCTGGGGTCTAGATAGGAAATGGAAGGTGTATGGCCAGGAGGTGCCTGAAGACAGGAGATCATGCAGTCAGAATACACTATCACAGCAAGGCTGCTTGAATCACACGCCCCTTCCAGGCTACCTGCCTGGCCAGGGCTGAGACTCCTAGGAAACCACCTCGACAGTATGAAGGTTACTTGAGCTAAGGGAACTGTCAGTCCCCTCTCTACCTCCCTGGCAATGGAACATAGAGGTGTCCAGCTTGATCCTTCTGCTCATTCTCTTTTGAGCCCTTGCATCCAGCTGATCAGTTTTTTAATTTCATAGACTGTTGTGTGTCATTTAGTTGGAATGGACCCATAGCTGACCCTCCAGCAGGTTTTCAGAAGCAGTGTATCACGGGGGGGGGGGGCGGGGAATTGCCTGTCTTTCTCCCCCAGAGCAGCTGGTGGATTCCAACTCCATGCATTTGGGTTGGCAGCACAACTCCTTACCCAGTAGGCCCTTTCTGAAGTAATGGATCCTTGGGAACACTGTTGCTATAGTGCCAGAAGACACATGCCTTGGGTAGGAGAGTGCTCAGTGTGCAGCGGGGCCAGAGCTGCCTCTCACCTTGATTACACAGATGGAGTACAGCTTTCACTCAGGGACGGCCCTTCATTTGCCGATGTGGGCCAACTCAAAAGGAGAAGAAACAGTGGCGAACAGCCACTAATAATTGGAATGCCAGATGAACAATGTAGAAGTTATTGAAAAATGAAATGGAGTACGTATAGATTGATATTCTAGATATAAGCGTGCTAAAAGGGACTGAACTGGCCGCTTTGAATCAGACAATCATATGAGCCTACTGTGCTGGGATTGAAGAGGGATAGTGTGATATTCATGGTGAAAAAGAACATTTCGGGATCCGTTCTGAATTACAACACTTGTCAGCAATAGGCTAATGTTCCAATATATACAAGGTAGATCTGTTAACGTGACTTAGTTATTCAGATATGCACATGAAGCACTAAAGCCAAAGTGAAAGAAAAGCCAGAATGCACTAATAATAATGGGTGACTAGAAGGCAAAAGTTAGAAACAAAAAGATGGGTAGCTGGAAAATATGACCTTGGTATCAGCAGTTAGGTCAGGTATCTCACAATAGAGATCTCTGTACAAATCAATGATGTGTCATTGCCACCACAGTTTAAAAAAAAACATAAATGGAGACTATACACATGGACCATGCCTGATGAAATACATGAGAATCAAATTGACTGCATTTGGAGAAAGAGATGGTGAGAAAGCTTAATAGCAGCAGTTGTAACAAGCCCAGGGCTGACTGTGGAACACACCATCAGTGACTCACATGCAAGTTCAAATTGAAAGGAAGGAAAATGAAAACAAACGTGAATTTATCCCACTTGAATATAAAACCATCTCAAGAATAAATTGCTTTTTAAAAATTATTTTTATTTGAGGGAAAGTTTACAAACAATATTTATTTTTCATTTGACCATTTATACACATTTTATTTTAAAACATAATTACAGTTTGATTTGATCATTCTTAGTTTATAACATTAATTGCAATATATAAATATAATTAATTCATTACAACGTCTGATCAGTATGTTGCCTTTCCCTTTACCCAAATTTTCTATTTATTAATTTTTATCCCCTATGGTTTCTTTCCCAGCCCTGATATCCATTCAAAATGAATTCTATCTGTGTGCCAACCTTCACTTAGCCTTGTGTCATAATTACCTTCGATCAAAGTACCATTCCAATAAAAGGTGATCTGACAGAGTGTGGAAATTACTGAACAATATCATTAATATCAAATGCAAGCAAGATTCTGCAGAAAATTATCCAAAAATGACTGGAGCAGTACATCAACAGAGAACTGCAGGCTGGGTTTAGAAGAGGCCATGTTGTTGTTGTTATGTGCCATCAAGTGCTCTATCCTGTGCCATTCGCACTGCTTCTGACACACCCATCCCGATTACCCTAGTCATTGAATCAATCCACCTCATACAGGGTCTTCCCCTCCTGCTCTGTCCCTCCACTCTACCAAGCATGATGTCCCTCTCCAAGGACCTGTCCCTCCTTACAATATGTCCAAAGTATGTCAGATGAAGCCCCAGAATCCTTGCCTCCAAGGAGCAGCCTGCTTTAACCCTCTCCAGGATGAACCTGTTTGTTTTCTTGGTAGTCCATGGTACATTCAATACTCTTCTCAAGCACCACAACTGAAAGGCTCCTTCTATCCTCCCTAGTCATTGTCCAACTCTCTGATGCATAACAAGTGATTGCAAAGACCATAGCCTGTATCAGATGCACCTTAGTCTCCAGAGTGACACCATTGCTCTTCAGTACTCTGGAGAGGTCCCTAACAGCAGACTTTCCCATCACAATATGAGGCCATAGTACTAGGGATATTATAGTTAATGTTAGATGGACCTTGGCCTAAAACAGAAAGTACCAGAGGCATGTCTATCTGTGTTTCATTGACTATGCAAAGGCATTTGACTGTGTAAATCACAACAAACTGTGATTAACATTGAGGAGAATGGGAATCCCCGAACACGTGACTGTACTCATGTGAAACCTACACTTGGACAAGGAGGCAGTTGTCAGAACACAGCAGGGAAACACTGCATGGTTCAAAACTTGGAAGGGTGTACACCGGGAATGTGTCCTATCTCCATACCTTGTCAATCTATATGTGGAACAGATCCTCCAGGGTGCTGGGCTCTAGGAGGAAGAATGTGGCATCAGGATTGGAGATGACCCAACCCTGCTTACTGAAACTGAAGCACTTGCTGTAGAAGTTCAAGGACTGTAGTCTACAATATGAGTTGAAGCTCAACATCAAGAAGACAAAGATTCTCACCACAGGGCCAATTGATAGTATCACGGTAGATGAAGAAGAGATTGAGATTGTTAACACCTTTAGTTTACTTGGCTCCACAATCAACACTCCTGGTACCAGCAGCCAAGGAAGTAAAAGACTAATTGCATTGGGAAAGTCTGCTGTCAGGGACTTCTCCAGAGTATTGAAGATCAGTGTCAGTCTGGAGACTAAGGTGCGCCTGATCCAGGCCGTGGTCTTTGCAGTTACTTACTATGCATCAGAAATCTGGATAATGACTGGAATGATAGGAGAATTGCTGCCTTTGAGCTGTGGTGCAGGAGAAGAGTATTGACTATACCAGGAGAATAAACAGGTTTGTCCTGGAGAGGGTGAGACCAGGCTGCTCCTTAGAGGCAAGGATTCTGAGGCTTTGTCTGGCATACTTTGGGCATGTTGCCAGGAGGGACCAGTCCTTGGAGAGGAAATCATGCTTGGAAGGATGGAGGGACAGCGCAAGAGAGTAAGACCCTGGAAGAGATGGATTGGCTCAGTGACGGGGTAATGGGGTAAGTGTGTCAGAGACAATAAAGTTGTCTCAAGATAGAGCAGGATTCAGAGCTGTTGTATATATAGGGTCACTGTACAACTCAGGGGCTCGATGGCCTAGTGGCAAGAAGCTGTGCTGCAACCCAGAAGGCATGAGGTTCGAGGCCACTGCTCGGGAACAGGATAGACAGTCTCCTCTTGTGCAATTAGCTGCCTCTGAAAACCCACTGGAGGGCCAGCTATGGGTCAGTTCTGACTTTATGGCACACAACAACATGTGACTCCATGGCACATAATAACAGCAACACAGTAGAGCCTTTGTGACCAACAGGTTTCACCTCCATCACATCCTCTTCATACTTTCAGTGCTGAGTTAATGTTTTTCTTTTTTTTTTATTAAAAAATTTATACTTGTTTATTTACGGAGTTCAAATACATTATTTTTTGCACCAAATCTTTCCCATTTCCTTCACCTCCACCTCCACTCATCAAATTGTGGGACCTTATGATTAACCCCCGTCCACCCTCACCCTTCTGCTCCCCCACTCTCCCCTTGGATCCTCATACACATTCTACAATAATGGTCTTAATACAGTATTTGTCCTTATGAGACAGAGTGAGTTCACTCAGCATCATGCTCTCCAGTCCCTCCCAGGTTAGATAATAATTTACAAAATCATTGCTCCTGCATGCTGTATAGTATTCCATTGTGTGAATGTACCATAATTTCTTACTCCGTTTGATTGTGGTTGGACATTTGGGTTGTTTCCATTATTTTGCAATGGTGAATAATGCAGCTATGAACATTGGTGTACAAGTCTTCATTTGGGTCTCAGTTCTCATTCTCTTGGGATATATTCCAAACAGTGGAATAGCTGGGACATATGGAATTTCAGCTTTTTGAGGAAACAGCAAACTGCCTTCCAGAGTGATTGTACCATTTTACAGTCCCACCAACAGTGTATAAGAGTCCCTACTTTGGCACATTCTCCCCAACATTTAGTACTTGCTGTCTTATTAAACTTTGCCATGAAGGTTTCCCTATAAGTTACTGTTTTATTTCCAAGTCTGAAACAGTTCACTTGATCTTGAAAGCACATTGACATTCTCTCCATTTAGAATTTCTATAACTGCATTTCTAACTCCCTCATTCTACTTGGTAGTTGGCAACATTTGGAGGCTGATACCTCTTGTTTTCTATTTTTATCCCATGCTTTTATTCTGTTTGTGTGTCTAGGTCTGTTTCTGGCTGTTCATTTCAATATACTGTCTTTGCTGGCTCTTGGTGCAAAGAATCCTCTTCAGTATTTCCTGTAAGATTCATCTGCTGGTGTGAGGTTCTGACTCGCAGCGATCCTATGGACTATGCTCTCCTGCCTCACCCTCTGGCATTCTCCAGCCTATTGTCACAGTCACTGTTTCAGTCCATCTCATTGGGGCTCTCCTCTCTTTCTTTGCTGTCCTCTGAGGGCTGGCCTTTGCTGGCGTGCCCACGCATGCCCCAGATATGTGAGATGAAGCTTTGCCATCCTTGCCATTAGGAAGCACCCTGGCTGCACTTGCTCCAAGACAGATCTGTGTGTGCTTTCAGCAGTCCATGAGATATTCAGTCCTCTTCTCCAGCACCGCGGCTCAAAGGCATCAGTTCTACTGTCATCTTTACTTCTTGCCCAACTTTCAGATGCATGTTGTTGTTGTTGTTATGTGCCATCGAGTCGCTTGCGACTCATCGCGACCCTGTGTACAAGAGCCCTAAACACCGTTCTATCCTGTGTCAACCTAGCTATCTCAAATGCACTTATTCCCACTTCTACAGTCACAGAATCGGTCCATCTCATCAAAAGTCTTCCTCTCCTTCGCCTCCCCTGGACTCTGCCAAACGTGATGTCCCTCTCCAAGGACCGGTCCCTCCTTGCAACATACCCAAAGTATGTCAGACGAAGCTTCAGAATCCTTGACTCCAGGGAACATTCTGGCTTCACCCTCTCCAGGACAAACCTGTTTGTTCTCCTAGCA